ACAAAAAATCTAAAAAAAGATAAACAAAAAAAATAAAGACTAGCAAAAAGAAATAAAAAATCAAAACAAAATAGACAAGACCATTAAAGAAAAACTAAAAAAAAAAAACAATATAAAAATAGAAAAGATAATAACCAAAAAAAAAAAAAAAAAAAAAAAACTAAAAAAAAAAAAAAATAAAAAATAAGAAACAGAAAACCACAAACAAAAAAAAAACTCAGTAACACAAACCCCGAAAAAAAAACAAAAAAAACAACTAAAATAAAACAAAATACAAATCAACAATCTAAAAAAAAAAAAAAAAAAAAAATAAAAATAATAAAACAAAAACAAAAAAAAAAAAACAAAACTAACTAAAAAAGTAATAAAAACAATTAATAATCAAATCAAATAAAAACAACTAAAAGAAAAGAAAAAATAAGACAAAAAAAAAATAAAAAAAAAATAAAAACATAATACAAAAAAAGTCTAAAAAACAAAATCTAAAAAAGAACGATAAAAAAAAAAAAAAAAAAAAAAAAAAAAAAAAAAAAAAAAAATAAAAATAAAAACTAAAAAAAAAAAAAACTAAAAACAAAAAAAAAAAAAAAAAAAAAAAAAAAAAACAAAAAAATCCTTGAATCAGTCTTTGTTGAACCAGAAAATGTATCATTTGAATTCTATATTGTCATGGACATAATTGACCTCTGTCCTGACACTTTTGATTTGTTGATTTTGTACTCTGTGAAGTAATTACATTGATGAGAATTAGATCTGATAAAAACACAAATTAGAGAAGTAAACTGAATCATTGCGCTTGCTTTTTGTCTGAGGGACATTAGCAACAGCATGAATAGAAATTGTGTTAAAGTAGAATCAAAGTGATTTAACCATAGAGAGTAACTACTGCATTACAAGCTGTGTACAGGAACTGAGACACTGCACCATTGACCAAAAGTGCATCGCAAATGACCTGATGTGCTTCAACTGAAAAGACTGTATCTGGAGATCCTGATGTGCATCTGGAGACCAGAACCATGGCTTGGACCCTACTGATGTCCAAGATGACATCTCTCAAAATATGAACCTGATGACGACTGAGACTCACCCTCAGGGGACCTGAGGACCTGAGGATCTGAGGACCTGAGAGAGAAAAAACTGGGGAGTGATGTTTATATTTTTGAAATCATACATTGATGAGTGCTAAATGAGAGAGATACTCATGATTCTTTCTTTTGTTTTTGTTTGTCCCTAGCTTCTGGACATCTGATGATCTATTGGACACAGACATTTGCAGAACAAGAACCAGCCAATGAAAATCGTCTATTGCCGATGCTTTTGCTACAACCAGAAACTGTGACAAATGCAATATACATGTTAAGTATTCAGACATCTGACAGACAAAAACTTTGAAAATGATAAAGTTTGAGTATTGTAGCGTTTTAGTAGATGTTAAATAGTAGTAAAAGAGTAGAATTTGACTTCCTTTGTTGTTCATAAACACATTTCCACATAAGAGTTAAAATAGTACCATACAATGTTATCCTTTTGATAGATCAGCTATAATATTAGAATCAGAGTATTTTAGAGATATTAAAAGTGACAGAAGTCACAGATTAGAAATATGCCTTTGCTCAAGCTGCAGCCGAGCTTTTGAGTTAAAAAATAGAGTAAAAATAGGAATAGATAAATGCATCAACCATAGATGCTTTCAAAAATAGAGATTATTTGTAGCCAGTGCTAATATCAAATGGTAAAGGGACCATTTCACAAACATTTACTTCAGAAGTAAATAAAGTTACTTACAGTTTTATGTACAGTTTTATTAGATACTTGTCAAATTCACTTGTGTTCAAACATGAGTGAATGTTGACAATACAAAAAGTTCATATGAGTGTAGTCTAGATTAATGCCTAGATCAATGAGATAGATTACAACCAACAGAGATTCAAAAGCATTTAAAAGCATTTTGATGTATTTGTGTATAGCACAAAAACACAATAGTAGATATTTAGATATTGAGAAGTTTCCAGCACAAACACCATTGTAGAATAACTGACCCCAACCCCAAACCTGCTAAAGTAGATTAGCTCTTGTAAGGATAGTTCTAATTTGATTAATGATGTACATTCATCCCAAACTGCCTGACAATAATATCTTTAGATAATAAAAAGTAATAAATCACTGACCACTATAGAAGTGTAAATGTTGACCATTTGCCTTACTGTGTTCAGTTTTATTCCTGAGAATGAGAATAGACATGGAGCAAAATCCCACTGATAATGAGAGTGTAAAACCACAGAGAGATTTGTTAGATTAAAATGTATGTTTAAGAATATGGCTCAATAGAAGCAAATATGCAAACATATTTGTAAATAGATTAGAATAGTTTAAACTATAGTGAATAGTAAAAGTAAAGTACACAGTATAAGATTAAAAAGTGAAAATAATACAGTGAAATAAGTGAAGTGTAGTGTAAACAATTGTCATTAGAATAAAAGTATAGAGTAATAAAAGTGAAATTAGCTTCAAATTTGAGACTCAGCTCGTTTTTTGTCTGTGTTTTGACTGAATCTGCTGAGTTCTTGTGTGTCCAATAGTGTTTGTTTGTTTTTATTTTTGATTTGTTTTTTGTTTGTTTATTTACTTTGTTTTTGTTTATTTTATTTTTTTTTTTCCAGGATAGAGCATAAAATCCACTGATATTGATTTGGATGATTATGAGTTTTAATAATTTTGTAAAGTTTTTTTTGGGAATTTTTTTTTTTTTTCTTCTTTTTCCACTTTATTGATTGATCAATTTGAGTGATCACATGTGATTATGTGATCAAAGGGGAGGGTATTAGTATTAGATAGCAATATGGCCTACGTGCAGGACTGTACAAGGACTCTACAAGGACTCCATGTTATGACTATGATTTGACTGTCTCTTTGTGACACGTATGTCTTTCGATGTGTGACGTGACAATGACTATATAAACTATGTACTGCCTTTATTCTGTCTGAGAGAAAGAAACAGAGTAAACCAGTGGAACTTGAGAGAAACTTAAATAAACTTCCAGAGTTTGGCACACCACGATCCGTCTCTGTCTGCTTAAATCCTAACACTAGGACAAGTCATAATGAAAAAAAAAATGCATATTTTGAAATTAAATACATTTTTAAGTTGCTGTCATCACTTTACAATTGGAAATAATCAATTAATGTTTGCAAGTTACTAATAATACTTGATAATGCCACTTTACTACCCTCGTGAGCCCCATGTTGAGAAACACTGGACGAAGGTAATGTATTTAAATTGACAAAGTCGCCCATTGTGTTGTCATGCATGTCTTAACACTTGCATTTTAAAGTTATCCCTGATTCCCTGTTCCGAAGCTATGTCTACTGCTAATTTGTCATAACATATCTGCATCTCATTTGACTAATTACTTTGTATCCTTTTGAAGTTTCAGCTCTACTGCTCTGGTCCATGTCTAGCCATCCATCATTCCGACATCTTACTTTTGGCTCTGTCACACTTCATCTTTTGCACCAGGGTCCCTGTATCTTGTCAGAACTGAGGTTTGCTATCTCCTTTTACACAACCCTGGTCTCATGTTTTCATAATGAGGTCCATGGTATCTTCTCTGTGCTTTGTTATCTTACCCCTCTCTCTCCCCCTATCTCTCCTTTTCTCTCTCCCCCACCAGCTTTCTCTCTCCCATTCATTCCCAGCCTCTGAAAGCCGCCTACAAACAGGACTGGCTTTGATGTGGCTCCATTTTCCCAGGGTCCCTTGCCCTGGCTGCATCTGTACGCGTGTGGGTATCCAAAGTTTAGCCTCCGAGCTGCAGTGCTGATGATAATGGCCCTGGGTAATGGCTGACAGTGCTATGGGGCACACACATACACGCGCACAGACAAACACACACACATACAGTATCACTACAGGCGAGACATGTTGTAGACACTTCAAAGGCGGCGGTGCTCGGCCAGGAGGTGAGCAGCTCAGGAATTGCCGAGCGAGGGGCCTGATGGGGATGCAGGCTCCTCTGTGCTGGGCGAAGGGAGCTCTCTTTCCTCTGAGCACATGCTTTGTGCTTGTCTTTGATAATTGGGGAAGAAGCAAGAGGACCAAGAATATCACACCACAATGTTCATACTACTTGTACCATTTACAACAATTATCATTGCATGTTTGAAAAATGTCCATTTGGGCGCCACCCGGAGGTGCAGAACACAAATCAACAAAGAATTTTTCAATACAGGTGCCCTCTTTAACCAAACCTTTTATTATATGAATCATATACGATCCATATTAAAAGTAATTGCTATCATGGATAGAGTTTTCCACACTCTGAAACCCTGAGCCCAGACTCATGTGAACTACAAAACCATGCCATAACTATCCTCCAATCTAGTTTTAATGACATTAATTTGGCCTCAGAGCGTAAGCCTTACATGTACACCTAACACTGAAATATTAAAATGAATCCTATATAGACATAGTGTTTATTTGCCTGAGAGGATGAGTGCCCTGAGGGAAGCCATCCATGAACATGTGACGGCAGCACAGACATCTCCACCCAGGAGCCTGACAATACTGTGGCCCTGCAAAGTCCATACAAACAATGAACCCAGCAGTTATAACAACAGTGTTTGTTTCAGTGTAGTTTTACTCAGTTTGTCTCCTGATGAGGGCAGACAAGGGTCATTCCTTTGGACCATTAACGTGATCAATTATGTAAATGTCTCTAAACGATGGCACACAGTTTCTGCCTCCTCTGTCTCTACGATGAGCAGGTGGGTGTGGCCACTGAGCAGCTGGGTGTGGCCACTGAGCAGGTGGGTGTGGCCACTGTTGGCGTCTCAGGTCACACATTAAATATCACAGATCTGAACATCACAAATAATTGTGTGTGTGTTCATCCAGCTGCACTGCTCTGGTAAGACAGTCAGTGAGAGGGAATGAGATAAAAGGAACAGTTTACATATTTAATTTTTTTCACACTGCTACCATATTTATTATGTCCACTCACCATCGGACCACCTCATGGCGTCGTCGAGGTTGGGGGGCAGCCCCTTCCACAGGGAGCTGTCTTTGGGGTAGCCCAGGTCCATCCTCCTCAGGTGGTCGTCATAGCGCCAGTACAGGTTGTCCCTAAAGAAGTAGGTTTTGTCGTTGTGAAGCCAAACAAAGGCAGCGTCCACACCGTCCGTGGGTAAACCAAAGTCACTGATGGGTCGAGGGTATCCCTCCTCCACGATGTTGTCTTTAAACACCCAGTACTTCAGACCTGAAACAGACACAGGACAGCTATTTTCTCTTCAATGTTTTAATTATGCCTAGAAAATATTGTTGAAAAATATTAGTTTTATTATTTTTATTTAATTACACCATCAAGGTGTAAATGTGTTTCACAGTTTATCGTGTTCAAATAAAATAGAAAAATAAAATGTACAAGTGCCGTGCCCATAGGGAGTGTGCAGCCCTATCCTGTCCGTGGACTGAGACACTTTCTCAAGTTGAATGTGATGCAGATATGTCTGATCAAACTGGAAAGCTGTTTGTTTTATTATTTTCTTTGTCAATGGAGCAGACATTGTGTGCATAGTTATTAACTCCATTCTTCATCAAATCTTTTGTTTTCTGTGTCAGTTTTCCAACTTTGTTGTCTTTGATAGCTGCTGTGGCACATTTCTTGCTTCTTACAAGATACAATGTTCTCAATTATCTTTCCACGTAGGGCTGGGTGGTTTTTTAAATGCTGCAATTCAAAACAAACCCAGTAAATTAATTGTATTTTAATATATAAACCAATCACAATGAAAAGCAGGGACAAATGGGTAAAGCTAAAACAATATCCTGCTTGTTCACATGACCCATTTCTCATCTAAAGAAGTCATCGAAACAGTCTGAACACCTCTAAACTGCGCTGGCATCCTTCTTCTTGCTCAGTTTAAGTATTAGAAGAAGTTCAGGCATTTTCCTTTTTACCACACTCTTTATAAACCTTTATAAATCTTTGATAAACCTTTGTTTTCCACCAGGGCGTCATCTCCATACCTTTGAAAAAGACTATTTTGTGGTCTCCAGGCCGTTCGTACACAGCGTCCACACTGTCCATGTTGTTGGGCAGCCCTCTCCAGAAGCGTTGCATTTGTGCTGGTCTGAGAGACACCAGATGCTTCTCTCGGGTCAACCTCCAGAAATACTTCCCTGACAAAATACATGAAATATATTGCATTGTTTATTGTAATATTTGCAAATGCGGTATCCTTACATCAGCACAACTCTTGACAGAAATTGAAAATATGAAAACTTTGTCAGTGAATATGGCCAGCAGAGAACAGAAGGCACTTGTCTGCTGTGGATAATCAACGGCACAATTGCGTCTCTTTCAAGCACATGGCTAATTGTGTCAGAAATGATCCGTGAAAAAATGAATCCTAGAACTCTATTCACTTTACCGTTTAAAAGGCTCAATGGTTCATGGAGTGGTGTCAGTGGAGTGTAAATGACACATTCAATCAAACAGTTTTAGTCAATATCAATTACGTACTATTTTGTCTGCAAATAGTTTTGTTTGAATACAGAGGGAAATATGCTCCGGTGGGAATCTCTCTAACAAGTATATGATGATGGGTTAGAAAGACAAAAGTGAAAAGTACCTAAGTTGTATTGGAAAATGTAGTATGCTTAAGAACAATTTTGACATGTCTAATGAGAAGATATTTAACATGTATTAATCTATTTGAACAGGAGCCATGCAAGTGCCAGTTTTTTATCAACTGTAGTCCCTGGGCTTCTCTTTCTCAATAATCCAAGATAAAAACTGTCTCTGCCAAAAGCAAAAAGAAAATATCAAAATTTAAAAAGGGCTTTTGAGTTAACTAATGATTGCTAATTGAAAACTTTGCAATCATTAGTTAGTTAGCGAGTATTCATCAATATGTCAAATACACATTTAGTATTGCTGGCATTTTTATACTGCCAGCTACTCCACACTCTAAGGATAGAATTACGGAGTTGCCAATGGTCGACTACACAGCTCTGTCATAGACGTGCTTATAATAACGTAACATAGCACTTCTGCAATTTCAGAAAAAATATTTAATAACCCTGATTATCTTGTTTGTGTCTCTACCACACTTACAGAAATGAGGCAGCGGAAGAAAAAGGAGAGCACAAAAGCCTTGGTTTTTTTCGGAGGGGTTTAAATGTCCATGAGAGAGGTACACAGTGCACTTAAAGGCTTTATCCTCACTGTGTCCATGTCTTCTGCTGAGAGATGGACCTCTACATCCTGCGTATCTATGATGCTAAAAGGATTTTGAGTAGTCTTAATAAATGTGTAATGGTCTAAATGTTAGCAGATAATCTAACATCTACTCATTCTATATTATGTATATGTGTATTTGACATATTGATGAGAACTCACTAACTTAGGACTGCAATTTTTCAGGCATTAACTTCTTTTTGCATTTCAGATTCAGATTCAGTTTATTTGCCATTTGCAGTAAAAAAACCACATTGGAATACATTAGCAAAAGTCTCCAACGTGCACAGACAAATACAGACAATAAAAGACGGAAATAAAACAAATAAAACAGTAAACAAATGTCACTGTGAAATCGATCGACTAAAACAGTTTCAAAAAAAGTGCAAATCATTAAAGTGCTCTGTTCACACTGATAACAGCCTGTGGATAAAAACTGTTGCATTTGGCTGAAACTGTTTTGTTTTGTGGGTTTTTTCTTGGATTACATTTGATAAATAACTGGCACTTACATGACCCCTGTTCAAATAGATAAATACACTTTACCACAATTGTCATCTTTTAGACTCTTAAAGATGACATGTAGAAGAAGTCACCATTATGTTTGCCGAATGTAAACTCGCAGAACTTAAGCAGTTTCCATAGGCCAAGGGGCGCAGGTTTGGTCTCAGCTTTGGGAAAGACATTTACAGGGACCTGAGACTACACCCATTACCGGGGGCTCCATCCATTTTCTTCCGCTTCATCCGTTGCCGGGTCGCGGAGGCAGCAGTCTAAGCAGAGACGCCCAGACTCTCCTCCAGTATATTGGGAACGCCTCGCAGAAGTACAATATTTGGACTTTGAAGCGTGGGGCTGTAGTTAAAATTGTGCTGTGGCCATTTTAAGATATATCCTCGCAGTGGCCCCGGTTCATTTTCTTATGTGTAAATAAATAGCATCTTTGACAGCTTTGTGGTCTGACCAAAGTGGGCTAAACATAATAATAATGATTTTAAAAAACCTATTCAGTTTTCTTACACCACTTTTTAATTGGATCCTGTGGGCTCTTGTATTCTGTTCTATTCTATTCTATGGCTGCGTTCAGTCCAAGATGGCAGTGTTTCAAGGCCTTCAAGTTGAGTCGAATGGAGTCAAAGCAAGGCGGAGCAACACTTTATTCTTGACCACTTCCCAATTCGGCTTCCTTGCCTCCTTTGAGCTTTAGATTATTAGAACATAACACACAACTAAATAACAGTATTTTTCCACATTAGTTAAACAGCTCATGGTGGCTAGCAGCTGCATTTGTCAACACGATATCTCTTTTATCCTCGCCAAATTGAGCTATAATCTGGCTGAGGGAAGAATTTGAAAAGTTGTATCGACCTTGTCTTTGAGCAAAAGGTGAAGAAGTCTTGGTCTTGTTGAGTTGTAAGTAGCTGTAAACCCAGGGGTCACTGCTGCTGGGAACATGAAAGCCTGATGTAACAGACAGATCAGCAGCTTAGTCTGTCTCCTCAAATATCCTGCACACCGCTCCCCTCATCATGCCTTTAATCTACTCTTGTTCTGTAGGCTCGTTTGGCTCATGTTTATCCCACAATCCTGTAGTTCTGAGTTCCCCTTTTCTTGTACCTTTGAAAAAGAAGGCTTCTCCCCGGATCTGGGCCACTGCATCAAAGTGGCTGGTGCATCTGTCTGGAGCATCCCGAGCGAGCCTAGAGGGGCAGGGGAAAGGGGGAAATGTTTAGAAAAGCGTCCAGAATGTAAGACACATTGTGTTTAGTTGGGTATATTTAGAGAAAATCCATGGCACTGTTATATATTTATTCACGGTACATTTAGTTTGATATGACATATTATTGCATATTTATTGATTGATTTCCAGTGGTGTGATCAGTTCACAGGCAGCATTTTCACAAATTTGAAAAATCTAGACTTTATCCTCAAGAGAATCTAACATACAGCATACATAGTTGAAGTGGAAAGAGTGTAACTTTGTTGATAAAGGTAAAGGTATGACCCAATGGTTTGACCCGTCCTGATGCCGCAAAGGCTTACGTCAGGAGCAGTGGATGCCGTAGTACAGCGCCCGAGAACCCATCTCCAGATGTTGGTGCTTGGGTTGGTCAGGACCAGAGCTGGAGGATTTTACCTAGTGTGCATGTTTTTAGTGGTAGGGGAAACCTGAAGCACCCGGAGGAAACCTACGCAGACACGGGGAGAACATGCAAACTCCACTCAGAAAGAACCTGTTTCAACTTGGATTCAAACCCAGGACCTTCTTGCTGAGAAGCGAGAGTGCTATCCACTCAGCCACCGTGCCGCCCCAGAGTGAAAGAGTAAGTTTAGAAGGGGAAATACTGTACATCAATCAATCAACCTTAAGTATCAATGTGGGGCGCATTATCACATTATGCTTTGTGAAATTTTGTGAGTTTTGTGACTTTGCCTTGATTTGAATGAAATGAAGAGATCCAGTATCCCCTGCTTTAGTTAAATGCCAAGCAACATCTTGTTTACTTGGAGCATTTGATTTTCAGACATGCTCAACTACTGCTGCGCAAGTTTCCTCCGCACAATTTAACTCACCATGTGTCCTGTGGTGTGTGAGTTTTAGCCACTGCTTCATGTAGCAAAAAGAAAACAAAAAAGTACAAATGGCGCGAGGCACTGAATATATCATTGCAACTATCAAAACTATTCTAAACATCCATATACTGTATAGAACTTTCCCCTGTCCAGTTCAATGCTTCTGCTTCTTTTATCTCAGTATCCGCTTTACTGAAGGACTTGAAAAGGGTCCTAAAAACTTGTGCTTACGTTAAAAGTTAGACTTCACCCTGTCCAGGAACAACAGATGGAAAGTAGCAGCAGCTAAATCTTGTGCAAATAATGTATTTGTTTGAAAAAGAAGTGGTTTTGTACATATTTTCTGTTAAATAAACAATAAAAAGAACAAATTTAGATGCATTCTACAATGAGAGCTAGTCTAGGCTATCTTCCCAACATGTTTGCAATGGGCAGTAGTTGTAGAAGACAGGGTCAAGTGCAATGGATGTGCAGGCTAATGGGCTAGCAACACAGTCTTATTCATAACACAGCACCTCCGCAATTCTTAAATCTGCTCCAACATGGTGTAAGGCCAAGCACGTCAAGCCTGGGTAATTTTAATCTTACTTACAAAATCCGTACTTGCAACAATGTACAAATCTTTCCCCAACCTGACGGCGTACTGGATTTCCCTAAGATATGCACAAGTGAAGCTGCTGTAGTCACTTTATGCATCTAAATGTCGCTCTAATCCTTATCTGTTGTGACCAAGGTGCGGAGCGTGAATGTTAAAGCAGCTTTTCTAAATAAAAGAGGGGATGTTATCATGTGGCCACGCTGCTGGGGTCTCCGGTTGCATATTTCCCAGGGGTTGGTAAGTGTTTTTCAAACCGTGCCGTGGATTGACTGCCAATGATGTGTCCATTAGCACCAGAGGAGAGAGAGGCCTGATACTCCGCAAAGATCTCTGTTAAAGGTTTATTAGGACTAGCTTCTACACAGCGGTCAGCGGTGATGCCCTTGTCGAGGCTAATTCTGTGTTTTACGCTCTGTGACCTGATGGGAGTCTAAAGGACGGGATTAATGAAGGCTGGGAAGCTTTAAAAGGTAAGATAATTGAATGGATATCACTCTATGTTTTGCAAAAAGTGGTTGATAGAAAACTAGTAAAGGCGCAAGCTGGATTTAGAGTTGATTTATAAAAGGGCATTTAAAGCTAGGCTACCTAAGTTTCAAGATGCAGAGGGTGTACAAACATGCATGTAACACATAGGAGCACCATTCTGAACAATAACAGTGCTTCTAAAAGCAAAATAAAAAAATCAAACTTGTAGACATCGATCGATGAGGAAGTTTTAACAAGTACATAGTTTTTGGCAGATTTTCAGATCAGCAGTTTTACGGAAATTGCCCAGCACACAATTTATAATTAATGTTTAATAAGATAGATAAGACAACACAAATTTGTATGATTTGTTCACAATTTTACTTTTAAAATTGTGATACATTGGGGCAGATACAATGGGTTATTTATGAAAAAGTTTGTGTTGAAGTTGTAGTCATAATTTTAGAATCAAGCAAAACTGAAAAAACAGGTGAATATCAGTCACTTTTTTTAATTGTGGAGAGATTTTATTTGTTCAAAGCACGCTCCGGCTGCTCCCCTTTCTCACCCCCACTGCTTCCTGATTGTACTGAACTTATTTCAAATACATATTTTATATAATATTTTTTTCCCAGTTTATCTTATCGGTGGTGTTATGCCAAGGAGAGGGATTGTAAAAAATATTAGGTATGTTACACATGGTCATGGTGATAATGCATTCTTTAAAACAAGAAATACACATGAAGGACCAGGATGTTTTACTTTGTTTAAGTTTATTATTATTGGTCATAATTCAAGTACTTCATCTTGTCACAAAAAATGAAATAGAAACCCTTTTATTATTCTAATTTCTCGTCTTATAACCAATCCCATTATTCTTTTCGTGCCCTTGTCTTGTGTGGTGCAAAAACAGATGTGATTTCTATTAATTATCCTGGTAATCTGAAACAGAAACTTGATATTCTTCCAAGGAGCGAGAGGGAACTGCTGATTCGGGTGGACAGGTTCTCCCGCTCCCTCACAGCCACAGAGATATTACTCATGTTTCATATCAAACTAAATCAATCTTACAACAATAAAATATGGCTCCACATGAGTAATTTCAATACTTTACATTACAGCTTGAAACTTATATAAACATACTGATATATACACATTTTACCCACTGTCATTGTCATGTTGTCAACTATAGTTTCAATGATAAATAAGAACTTAGTAAGCACTGAACAATGGCCTTAAGCATGACTATGGATTAACCATTACATTTAAGCTACATATTTGCAAACCAGAGGCAATAAAAATGAAACATTTGAAGTTTGATTAAATTGGTGTAGAGTCTAGAGTAGACCAATTACAAAAAGTATTAATCTATTATCTGATAGAAGAAGAGGGAGGAGTTATCTGAAACGCAAACAGTTTGCGATTCTCTGATCTGTGTCAAAATAAACGCCTTTGATTCAGGGCTATACAAGCCCTAAATCACAATAATTTCACTTTTTTGAGTGTGTGGATATGAAAATATTTGGTGTATTTTATGACAGAAATTCATGGTATTTCTCCTCTTTGTTTGCAGATAGTGACAGATGGCAGCGCAGAATGTGACAGAGTTCATAATATTTGCTTTTCCAAACAAACTTCATCGCTTTTAAGATTGAAGTTTTGGCCCTGCATCCTCCAGAGAATAATGTCGTATATTATTTTAGTACCTTCGGCAGTTTTGCCTCAGAGCCTGAAAACACTCTCAAATATTTGTTGAATTAAACATGGGCGTTGGGTCAGGAGTGACACCTAAGGCAAGTTATCATACTGATATCATACTGTGTACTGGATTGTGGATTATAGAAAGCTGTCAATAATGAAAGAGATCATTCTACTGTTGCACGTTACTAAAAGTAGATTTAAAACCCAAGATGCTTCAATGACCCCTTACTTTCACTATAGCACAGGTGGTATGTTCAAACTATTCAACACATTCAGAGCGACTGTTAAAGGAGAACAATCTTTGTGATTATATAAGTAATAAAAAAGCATCAATATTTCAAAGAAACATCCTGAAATATTAGTACATGCTCTAAAGAAGGTCTTGCTTTACTGAAACACATAGGCTTTTCCCTGTTACTCTTTTCATTTACTGTCTAAAGTGCCTCGGATTGTTTGTTTTCTCACATGTTCTTGTGTAATCCTGAAATATCAATCATATCTCCTTAAATCTTAAATCAATCATCAGAGCAGTGTTGGCACCAGACAGAAACATGTGCTGGGATTAGATCGAAGAAGACAGAAGAATGTGCATGGGTTAGGCCACTGGTTTTCAACCCTTAACAACAATGCAAAAAAAAACGTCTTTTAAAGGTCCTATATCACGCTTTTCTTCATGTTTCACACTCAGTCCTCTGCACATGTGTGATATTAATGTGTATGATACACCACACAACAATCAAAGCTTGTGAGATTAGAGCCATCTCTTGTTTAGAGGTGACGTCACCTCGACTCAAACGAGCTGATCCAGAGTCTGCTCCTCGGCCTGTGAGCCCGCCTCCCCCCGCCCGCACGCTGACGTAGCATCACGCTTTTGTCGTTTATCACCTGTACTTAGTAATTTCATAAATAAGAATAAACGTTTTCCAACAATGACAATCCGTCACATCGAGCCCTATGTCCTCGATGCACAATCAGACCCTAGTTATTTAGTTTACAGAAGTATACAGCGAGTTAGCGTCACTACTTACAGATCGAGGGGGTCCGAGTTACGTCTTTTACCGTGGGAATGACGTGTTTCCAGATCAGCTTTTGAGTAAGTCCAGTTCCATTGTCTCTGTAGTTCTGGAACAGTCTCAGTGAAGTGTCGCAGATGAACCAGTATTATAATAGATCCATGAGATGAACAGATGAAAAAAGTCGAGCCGCTTTCTTCCTCTTCGGGCCAAATAGTGCGTCACATATTTACACCCATAACACACTTCATTCAAGTTGACGTGATCCTAACACTTTTAGTTTCTGACAAAAGCATAAAAACAGCAGCTCTGTGGTGTCCGCGAGACCAGACCACAGACGCTGGACTCGGGAGCCGGAGCCTGTGCGCTCTGATTCGCTGTTTTGATCCGTCAATCACCTCCCGCCGGCTTTTAATTTATTTTTATTTTTATTATTTTTGACAAAAAACAGCATACTAATTGTGTATTGTTTACCCCGTTTTGACAAAAGTATTTAACAACTATTTTAAATACAAAGCAAACGGGGTCATGCGCGTCATGCGCGTCATCAGTGTGGTTTTTGTCACTGAAGTGGACCAGAGCGTTTCTGTGCCTCACGCTGGGGAAGGAGACAGATTGCTCTCTTACAAAAGATTGACAGAATCAATGAATAAACTACTGTGGCCTTGTGTATGAAGGCCAAATAGCATTGTAATCATGTTTAAAGCAGAGAAAAGTCAAAAACCGTGATATAGGCCCTTTAAGTATGTATTGGAGGCACTTACAGGAAAGTGGACCTGTTCTCTGGGAGGTCAAGGAGAACTGGGGGCTCGGCCGTGCGTGCGGGGGATCCAGGCTGGTTTGTGTGTGACACGGACTCTCGGATGCCTGAGGAAGAGGGTCTAAAGTTAATAAGCATACACAGTATTTAGTAAATCATGTATATAGTGAAGGGAGATACTCCTATAGGGACATTTTGGTCAATGAAAGTCAACCTGTAGCGTAGCTAAAGCTCTCATACATCTGACCCAAAGTGCACCCACAAGACTTGAATTTAATTCAAAACCATTCGTGAACTCTTAAAATCACAACAAAATAATTGGCCTTTGAAAAAAATCAGCTGTGAATAAATTTTTTATCCAATAAGACTAAAATACAACTAAGAGTCTATTTTTTCTGCCATCAAATTCTTTGAAGTAGAAAAAAGTAAAGGTTACGACATCTTATTTAATCAATAAAGGCCATGAACTGATGAATTGACAGAATAATCATCACAGATATCGATATCGAGATGGTGACGTATCGTGATACTTTCTCACACAATCGATAACCGATATGCTTTTGATAAGTATCCATTTTTTTTCTTTTTTTTGTCCAAATAATTATTATTTTTTTTAAGATTTATTTGGAAAAAAAAATAAGTATCGATACTTAATAAATGGGTACATTACGCAGCTCCATTCTTCATGTCTTATTATTCTTCATGAGTAAATACTGGAAAATCTGCTAGTTTAAAGAATATTTAAAGAATATTTTAACATAAATTGATTTCAGTTTTTTTTACTTGTCTACAAAATGCACTTTAATTTCTGTAGAGTGTTCACATTGATTTTATTGGATGTAAGACTTCTTTTGTTAAATAAACAATGTCAGCATTTTTACTAAAATGTGCAGGTTAAAAGGCATTTTTTCTTGTTCACTTTAATGTTACACATGTCACTTTATCCATTTATCTTGAAATAAAGTGCATTTTTTTCACTTAATTTATCCCTTACATAAAATAAAAATATAATTGTAGGTATATTTCTGACCAATAAGTCGACAATCGCTGCATCGTCATATCGTGAGATAATCGTTATCGTGAGCTTTGTATCGCAGGTACCCTGAGGTTCCCACCCCTTGTTAGTAACCTGATTGTTTACAAATGAGAGGACAGTTACTTCAAGATTATATTACTCAGAAAATAACAAAACAAAAGAGTGTCTAACATAAGATCTAAAATAAGACAATCCAATTGACTTGGATAAATCTTAAAATAGTATTTAAACAGTAGAGTATGTTGTACCTTATTTGCATACATTACGATTGTCTGAAGTGTGGCCAAACAAATCAATTTGGACATTTGGCTGCTGATTTTTCAATTCAATTATTCAAAAAAACCCAAACAAAGCAGTTGTTATTCGAGATTACACTAACCTGACTTATACAGAATATACTGTGGAACTGTTTCTACATATAGACTTATATTAAACACATCCGCTCCCATTTTCTCATTCTTTGCCTTCTGATTCATTCTCCTCTCTGCATTCATCGTCTCCCCATCTCTTACCCACCGCTGCCCTCACTATTAAAAAAATCATAAAGGTCATGCGGCATAATGAGACCCAATTAACTCCAGTCGCGCTTCTGTGAAATCAATAAGCCCCCACCGTGGCTCCACTTCCTCATTGCCCAGCCTCAGATTTCACAGACGGACACAACAAATGCTGGATCTTTCTGCACTTAACAGAAAATCCAAGAGACAGGGAAGGAGATGATATTGATCACAAGTTCTCATTTGATTGGATCTGTGATTGGATTTTAACATTTGTGAACATTTGGACTTCAACAAATAGTATTTTTGGGGTTTATACAGTGCCTTGGGAAAGTATTCGGCCCCCTTTAACCTTTCAACATTTCGCCACATTTCAGGCTTCAAACATCCATCCATCCATCCATTTTCTTCCGCTTTATCCGTTGCCGGGTCGCGGGGGCAGCAGTCTAAGCAGAGACTCCCAGACTTCCCTATCCACACACACTTCCTCCAGCTCGTCCGGGGGGACCCCAAGGCGTTCCCAGGCCAGCTGAGAGACATAGTCCCTCCAGCGTGTCCTGGGTCTTCCGCGGGGCCTCCTCCCGGTGGGACGTGCCCGGAACACCTCCCCAGGGAGGCGTCCAGGAGGGATCCGGAACAGATGCCCGAGCCACCTCAACTGGTTCCTCTCGACGTGGAGAAGCAGCGGCTCTACTCCGAGCTCCTCCCGTGTGACTGAGCTCCTCACCCTATCTCTAAGGGAGCGCCCAGCCACTCTGCGGAGGAAGCTCATTTCGACCGCTTGTATCCACAATCTCGTTCTTTCGGTCATTACCCAAAGCTCATGACCATAGGTGAGGGAGGGAACGAAGATTGACCGGTAAATCGAGAGCTTTGCCTTTCGGCTCAGCTCCCTCTTTACCACGACGGTCCGATACAGCGACCGCATCACTGCGCACGCTGCACCGATCCGCCTGTCAATCTCACGCTCCATTCTTCCCTCACTCGTGAACAAGACCCCGAGATACTTGAACTCCTCCACTTGAGGAAGGACCTCTCCACCCACCTGTAGAGGGCAAGGCACCTTTTTCCGGTCGAGCATCATGGCCTCGGATTTGGAGGTGCTGATACTCATCCCAGCCGCTTCACACTCGGCTGCAAACCGCCCCAGTGCATGCTGCAGGTCCTGGTTCGTTGGAGCCAACAGGACAACATCGTCCGCAAACAGCAGAGATGAAATCCTGTGGTCTCCGAACCGGACCCCCTCCGACCCCTGGCTGCGCCTAGAAATTCTGTCCATAAATACAGTGAAGAGAACCGGTGACAAAGGGCAGCCCTGTCGGAGGCCAACATTCACCGGGAACAGGTCTGACTTACTGCCGGCAATGCGAACACAGCTCTGGCTCCGGTCATACAGGGATCGGATGGCCCTCAGCAGAGGAACTCCGACCCCGTACTCCCGGAGAACCCCCCAAAGGACACCCCGGGGAACACAGTCGAACGCCTTCTCCAAATCCACAAAGCACATGTGGACCGGTTGGGCGAACTCCCATGAACCCTCGAGTATCCGATGGAGAGTATAGAGCTGGTCCAGTGTTCCGCGACCGGGACGAAAACCACACTGCTCCTCCTGGATCCGAGATTTGACCATCGGCCGTAGCCTCCTCTCCAGTACCTTGGAGTAGACCTTACCGGGGAGGCTGAGGAGTGTGATCCCACGATATTTGGAGCACACCCTCCGGTCCCCCTTCTTGTAGACAGGGACCACCACCCCGGTCTGCCACCCCGATCGCCACGCAATGTTGCAGAGACGTGTCAGTCAAGACAGTCCTACAACATCCAGAGACTTTAGATAATCAGGGCGGATCTCATCCACACCCGGAGCCTTGCCACCATGGAGGCTGCCAACTACCTTGGTGACCTCAGCCAGGGAGATGGATGTATTCGCCCCAACATCCTCAGCCTCTGTAACAGAGGACGTGACGGGGGGATTGAGGAGAACCAGCTCTCCACCCGCACCGTACATGGTGTTGGCAAAGAACTGCTTCCCCCTCCTGAGGCGCCAGATGGTTTGCCGGAATCTCTTCGAGGCCGACCGATAGTCATGCTCCATGGACTCTCCGAACTCCTCCCAGTCCCGGGTTTTTGCCTCTGCAACAGCCCGGGCCGCAGCACGCTTGGCCTGCCGGTACTGGACAGCTGCCTCAGGAGTCCCCCGAACCATCATGGCTCGATAGGACTCCTTCTTCAGCCTGACAGCATCCCTTACTGCCGGTGTCCACCACCGGGTTCGGGGGTTGCCGCCGGGACCAGCACCAGAGACCTTGCAACCACAGCTACAAGCCGCCGCATCGGCGATTGAGGCAGAGAACATGGTCCACTCGGACTACATGTCCCCCTCCTCCGCCGGGACCTGGGAGAAACTCTCCCGGAGGTGTGAGTTGAAAGTCCGTCTGACAGGGGGCTCAGCGAGACGTTCCCAGCAGACCCTCACTACACGCTTGGGCCTGCCAGGTCTGACCGGCTTCTTCCCCTGCCAGCGGATCCAACTCACGACCAGGTGATGATCGGTTGACAGCTCCGCCCCTCTCTTTACCCGAGTGTCCGAGACACGCGGTCGAAGGTCAGATGATACGACAACAAAGTCGATCATCGACCTCCGGCCTAGGGTGTCCTGGTGCCACGTGCGCTGTGGACACCCTTGTGCTCGAACATGGTGTTCGTGATGGACAAACTGTGACTGGCACAGAAGTCCAACAACTGAACATCGCTCGGGTTCAGATCAGGGGGGCCGTTCTTCCTGATCACCCCTCTCCAAGTGTCACTGGCATTTCCCACATGGGCGTTGAAGTCCCCCAGGAGAATAACGGAGTCCCTGGGCGGTGCACCGTCCAGTACCCCTCCCAAGGACTCCAAGAAGGCCGGGTACTCTGCACTGCTGTTAGGCCTGTAGGCCGTCACAACAATGAGAGACTTGTCCCCCATCCGGAGGCGGAGGGACGCGGCCCTCTCATTTACCGGGGAGAACTCCAACACGTGGCGGCTGAGATGGGGGGCAATGAGAATGGCCACCCCAGCTCGCCGCCTCTCCCCGCGGGAAACACCAGAAAAGTGGAGCGTTCAACCCCTCTCAAGGAGTTGGGTTCCAGAGCCCAAGCTGTGTGTGGAGGTGAGGCCGACTATCTCTAGTCGGTATCGCTCAACCTCCCCCACGAGCTCGGGCTCCTTCCCCCCCAGTGAGGTGACGTTCCACGTCCCAAGAGCCAGATGTTGTGTGTGCGGACTGGGTCGCCGAGGTCTCCGCCTTCGACTGCCGCCCAGTCCTCTCAGCACCGCGCCACCACGGACCCCTGTGCAGGTGTTGGGCCCACAGGAGGGACTGCCCACGTCATCCCTTCGGGCTGAGCCCGGCCGGGCCCCGTGGGCTAAGGCCCGGCCACCAGGCGCTCGCATACGAGCCCCGACCCCAGGCCTGGCTCCAGGGTGGGGCCCCGGCTGCGCCATGCCGGGCGACGTCACTGGTCTATTTATCGTGCTGTCCATGGTGGTTTTTGGACCGCTCTTCGTCTGACTTGTCACCTGAGACCTGTCTGCCATGGGAGGCCCTACCAGGGGCATGAAGCCCCAGACAGCATAGCTCCCAGGATCATCCGAGTACTCAAACTCCCCCACCACGTTAAGGTGGCAGTCCAGGGGGGGAGGGCTTCAAACATAAAGATATAAAATTAAATTTTTTTGTCAAGAATCAACAACAAGTGGGACACAATCGTGAAGTGGAACGAAATGTATTGGATAATTTAAACTTTTTTAACCAATACAAAACTGAAAAGTGGGGCGTGCAATATTATTCGGCACCTTGCGCTTATACTTTGTAGCGCCACCTTTTGCTGCAATTACAGCTGCAAGTCGCTTGGGGTGTGTCTTTATCAGTTTTGCACATCGAGAGACTGGAATTCTTTCCCATTCTTCCTTGCAAAACAGCTCGAGCTCAGTGAGGTTGGATGGAGAGCGTTTGTGAACAGCAGTCTTCAGCTCTTTCCACATCTTCTCGATTGGATTCAGGTCTGGACTTTGACTTGGCCATTCTAAGTAAGCAAGTAAGTAAGCTTTATTTATATACCGCCTTTCACAGACCAGAGTCACAAAGCAGTTTACAATTGTTATTTTTGGGCACTTGTCCTCTCACTCCACACAGAGATGGGAGCGTGGTCGCCAAACAGGAGGCGCATGCCAGACCTATTGTACATATTTTTAGTGGTAGGGGAAACCGGAGTACCCGGAGGAAATCTACGCAGACACGGGGAGAACATGCAAACTCCACTCAGAAAGGCCCTGGTCCGGCCGGGATTCGAACCCAGGACCTTCTTGCTGAGAGGCGAGAGTGCTATCCACTCAGCCACCGTGCCGCCCAAATTCTAACACCTGGATACGTCTATTTGTGAACCATTCCATTGTAGATTTGGCTTTATGTTTTGGATCATTGTCCTGTTGGAAGATAAATCTCCGTCGCAGTCTCAGGTCTTTTGCAGACTCCAACAGGTTTTCTTCCAGAATGGTCCTGTATTTGGCTCCATCCATCTTCCCATCAATTTTAGCCATCTTCCCTGTCCCTGCTGAAGAAAAGCAGGCCCAAACCATGATGCTGCCACCACCATGTTTGACAGTGGGGATGGTGTGTTCAGGGTGATGAGCTGTGTTGCTTTTACGCCAAACATATAGTTTTGCATTGTGGCCAAAAAGTTCAATTTTGGTTTCATCTGACCAGAGCACCTTCTTCCACATGTTTGTGTGTCTCCCAGGTGGCTTGTGGCAAACTTTAAACAAGACTTTTTATGGATATCTTTGAGAGATGGCTTTCTTCTTGCCACTCTTCCATAAAGGCCAGATTTGTGCAGTGCACGACTGATTGTTGTCCTATGGACAGACTCTCCCACCTCAGCTGTAGTTATCTGCAGTTCATCCAGAGTGATCATGGGCCTCTTGGCTGCATCTCTGATCCGTCTTCTCCTTGTTTGAGATGAAAGTTTGGAGGGATGGCCGGGTCTTGGTAGATTTGCAGTGGTCTGATACTCCTTCCATTTCAATATAATTGCTTGCACAGTGCTCCTTGAGATGTTTAAAGCTTGGGAAATCTTTTTGTATCCAAATCCGGCTTTAAACTTCTCCACACCAGTATCTCGGACCTGCCTGGTGTGTTCCTTTGTCTTCATGGTTCTCTCTGTGCTTTAAACAGAACCCTGAGACTATCAAAGAGCAGGTGCATTTATACGGAGACTTGATTACACACAGGTGCATTCTATTTATCATCATCAGTCATTTAGGACAACATTGGATCATTCAAAGATCCTCACTGAACTTCTGGACTGAGTTTGCTGCACTGAAAGTAAAGGGGCCGAATAATATTGCATGCCCCACTTTTCAGTTTTTTATTTGTTAAAAAAGTTTAAATTATCCAATACATTTTGTTCCACTTCACGATTGTGTCCCACTTGTTGTTGATTCATGGAAAAAAATTAAAATTGTATATCTTTATGTTTGAAGCCTGAAATGCTGCGAAATGTTGAAAGGTTCAAGGGGGGCGAATACTTTCGCAAGGCACTGTAAATGGTTATATTCAAAATAGTAAAATTATATAGGAAAACAAATGACACCTTTATCTGGAAGTATGCTTTGTTAGGATCATAAATAGTATCTCATTATCCCTTTGTTCCTTTTCTTAAACTTCCTCCAGCTCATCAGGCTGGACGGCGGCACGGTGGCTGAGTGGATAGCACTCTCGCCTCTCAGCAAGAAGGTCCTGGGTTCGAATCCCGGTCGGACCAGGGCCTTTCTGAGTGGAGTTTGCATGTTCTCCCCGTGTCTGCGTAGGTTTCCTCCGGGTACTCCGGTTTCCCCTACCACTAAAAATATGTCCAATAGTTCTAGCATGCGCCTCCTGTACTGGCGACCCCGCTCCCATCTCTGTGTGGAGCGAGAGACAAATGCCCAAAATTAACAATTGTAAACCGCTTTGAGACTCAGATCTGCAGTGAAAAGGCGGTATATAAATAAAAACTTACTAACTTACTTACTATCAGGGGGAATCCGAGACCAGCCGAGACACACAGTCCTTACAAAGTGTCTGGGTCTCCACTCATTGAAACATGCCCGGAACTCCTTCCTAGAAAGGCATCCATGAAGTCTCTAAAACAGATGCTTGAGCCACATCAACTGGCTCTGTGCAATGAGGAGGAGCAGTGGCTCTACACAAAGATCCTTCAGAATGACTGAACTCTTCCCCCTAACTCTATGGGAGAGCCCACTCTAATAAAGGGTGACTGCTTGTATCAATGATCTCATCTTTTTGGTAATTACCCAAAGCTCATGACCACGGCAGAGGGAGGAAACATAGATTGATAAATCTTCTTGAGGTCAACCATTAGAGGCTGTGCAGAGAAATGAGTCGCAAGAAAAGGGAGCTATCACTGCATTTAATTAACCTCACACTGACATGATTGATCGAATCATCATTTTTTATCATTTCAATGTTGTTGATATTGTTGATATTGTATTGTATTGTATGTACTTTATTTGAACAGGGACAGTGTACAGTTAAGCATTAACACAAAAGGAGAGATGCATGTACCAGGTTATAGCAGAGATGCTAATTTCCACCTGTAGTCCCTGGTTCCTAATATTGTTCCTTAAGGTGATATTTTCAGACTGTTCTTGTCATTGTGGATGGACCAACAACTTACAGGTCCAGAATGTTTTAACTGGTTTGATCTGGCCAAGAGTATCCTCTCTGCTTCCTGAATGTAATCGTTCATTCCTCCATTGCTGTATGGAGGGTTTTAGAACTTCGTCATTGGTTGTTTTAAGAATAGTACAAAGTCTGCAAATTGGCGGGATATGTTGATATAAACTAAACCAAAGTTATCTAATGAGATAAGATAATAAGATGAGATATTTGGTCTCTTTTGATAACATACATTTACATGAATTACATAGAACTTACCATAGATCTGCCACACCCGCACTTTGTCCTCGTAGGGCAGGTCATACTTGAGGGGGTCCCCCACAGGACCCTGGTAGTACGGCCTCATGATGGACTCTATGGCCGAGGTGTGAACGAGGCCGATGGCATGACCGAACTCATGCACCGCTACCGCAAACAGGTCCATCCCGTGGGAGTCTGAAGAGAAGAGGTTACACTGGAGTGAGTGAGCTCTCTGAAGACATGTTTTAAGATTAAGGCACACTTCCATTCTTTTGTCAGACCCATGTTTGACTTATGCTTTTAATGCCACCAGGGAAACTTGTGAGGACCAGTGGCCACTACAGTGCAGCAGTTGGGACCCATCTCCAGTGGTTTTAAAGCTCTCCTTGGTCAGGACTAATCCAGACTAATCTAGGAGAAACATACCAACACTCACAGAAAAGCCCATCCAAAAATCCCATTCGTCCACCCTTAGGTACAATTGAGATGTTCACTAAATGCAAGACACTTAATCCATGAACGCCTTCCTGCAGTAGTGGGTCGTTCACTCTTATTACAATAAATATCCAAGCATAATATCTGCACAATGACAAGAAAATGAACAAAACCCTCTCAGTAGAGAACACCTCGGAGTCAAGACTTGTTACCATGGCGGCGCATGAACATGCTGCGGCTTTTCTCTCTTGACAAGGTGACGTTTCTACCCTTTTCTACCCTTTTCTGCAAACTGCTTTTGCAGTTTTTGTGATCCGCTTTGTTTTGCAAGATGTTGTTGTACATCTTTGCCATGTTTTTGTGGAGTCCAGCGGATTTTTTACTGCCAAAGCTCTTTGCTAGCAATGAACAGAGGATGTGTTTTTAAAAGTAAACACACAGTTAGCATCTGAGCTAAAGGCTTTTTGAGCAGTATTTAAGACCTACAAATCCAGAGATATCATCTTCTGAAGCGCTGACAGGTCACCGAGGGCCCCACGCATCTGCAGCACAGTGGAGGCGTCACAAGAGGCGCTACAGGAGTCCCGGCCTCCGTTGTGTGCAACTTCTACAGAGGGACTGTAGAGAGCATCCTGACCAGCTCCATCACTGGGTGGCACGGCACCAGCACTGCCTCCTGCCGAAGGAGCCTCCAGCGCATCGTGAGAGCAGCAGAAAAGATCTGTGGAGCCCCTCTCCCCACCATTAAGGACATGTACTCCACCCGTCTCACCCGCAAAGCCGTCAGAATCACCAGGGACCCTACGCACCCATCACACAGGCTCTTCAAGGTAATGCCTTCAGGGAGGAGACTGCAGAATTTACGGAACAGTTCCAGTCGACTTAAAAACAGTTTAATTCACAAGGCCATCAGGAAGCTGAACTCCCTGCCCTCCCTCCCACCCCTCTTCCCCCACCCCCGCTCCATAATCAAGGATGAGAGAAATATAATTTCAAACCATTCACTTGGTTTGACAAAATCTTGAATCTTGAAGATTAAAGAAAAGTTTGATGGTCCGATGGACTGACTGGAACGTAAGTAAGTAATGTTTATCGAGCACATTTTTACAGACCAAGGTCACCCAAAGCGTTTTACAATTGCCCAGTTCAGATATTTTTTCCTTTTTTCTGCACACGGGGATGACAGAAGCAAGACGGCAAACACACTGGAGCATCAAAGCCCCCTATCAACACCGTCTATTCACTCACTCATACCTATTATACATGTTTTTAGTGGGGAGAACATACAAACTCCACAGGTAATGGCCTGGAGGTAGAATCGAACCCAGGACCTTCTTGCTGTGAAACACTAGCTCTAACTGCTGCGCCACTGTTTGGACAAGTACTTGCTTCTATATCAAATGTCATATCATCTCAAACATCTTAATAATTGACACCCCTGTAACATCTTGGTTGAATCCATTTGGACCTCTGATCTGCTCTCGACTGGAACAGGAGAGGTCAACTTGGAGTACCAAAACTAGGTAAGTTAAACTAGAAAATATTATATAATTTGAAAGTCCTTTTATGTCTGTAAATACATTTCACCAAAGAGAAACCATTAGATGATACAGGCAAAAATAAATGTACGTTTTAATCACTTTCAAGTTTTCTGAGTTTCATCTCTATCTGTTCATGTAAACGAGTTTGTAATGCAGGTAATGCATGTTGTAACCATAGACTGTATATATTAACGGACAGAGTCACGCCTATCTCCGCCGTTCTAACTAATGGGCCAAAAAAAGGGCTCTACTGGAGCAACCCAAATGGCCGCGAGTGGTCCCACCCACAAGAAAATTGGGAAAAAACGCATCTGCGCATGCGTCAGCCGGCGCAGCTCCATTCATTTGAACGAGAGACTTCAAAAATTCACAGCAAGTAAACTAGAGTGGACCAAAAAAATTCACTCCCCTCAGCATTGACACACATGTGGAACGGAGCTTTGGGCCAAGAGCCAACTTTTGGACCATCCTGTAAAGACGTTCTTGAGAGGTCTGCCAATGCTATATGTTAGCATTGTCTAATTCTTCTTCTGGGTCCACCCCCATCGGCCCGGGGTGGTATTGCAAGCATGTTAGCGCACGTCATTTAGGCCACTTTTGAGCTGGGACCCGCCCACACTGGTTGTAACACATTTTGCTACAGCTACCAAAACACAGGGAAAGTGAATAATGTGGTGTGTGGCAGTATTGTAAGAAAAAATAAGAAAAATGGATGACCAAATGGAAAATGGATTAGGGGCTTGAGGACATAGAGTCAAACATTGGTATGCATGAGATGAGTTGACCTTTTGTTGAAGCCCAATATCCCCTATTGCAGTGTTTTTCAACCACTGTGCCGCGGCACACTAGTGTGCCGTATGATATTGTCTGGTGTGCCGTGAGAAATTCGTCTACTTTGTCTAAAAATAACTGCATTCGCTGTTGACGAGCGGTGACTTGTTTTGAACTGTGGAGTAACCATGTAATACTTTTTCAAATCAGTAGATGGCAGCAGATAGCTAAGTACTTTGAAACTGAAAAATTGGATGCGACCACTGGCTGTAACAGGTCAGCATTGTGGCGAGAAAGTATTAGTATTAGATAGCAATATGGCCTACGTGCAGGACTGTACAAGGACTCTACAAGGACTCCATGTGATGACTATGATTTGACTGTCTCTTTGTGACACGTATGTCTTTCGATGTGTGACGTGACAATGACTATATAAACTGTGTACTGCCTTTATTCTGTCTGAGGGAAAGAAACAAAGTAAACCAGTGGAACTTGAGAGCAACTTAAATAAACTTCCAGAGTTTGGCACACCACGATCCGTCTCTGTCTGCTAAATCCTAACAGATTTGGTGGAGAATGCGCGGCTCGGTTTGTGCCATTCTCTGGATTGTTTTGAGGGAGTTTGCTCTGTTTCTTTTCCTCGGCGTGAGAGATCGGCATGCTGTGTCTGGGAGCGGAGATTCCAGCAGGCTGGAAGAGCTGTTCCTGGATGCTTCTTGTCGCTTCTGTCACTTTTGTTTTTTAAATTGAAGATTCCGACGCGGAAAAGAGTTGGCAGACCTCTCGGACAGTCCTTGGAACCGGTTTGACAAGAATAAGGTAAGCAGACACCTTTTTTAATATGTAAAGTCTGCATAATTGGATATTAGCTAAATTTTGGTCTGTTTTTTGGGGTCTGTCAAACTCTCTAAATTGTATTTTGAAGAAGTCTCGGGGTTAAAGTCCCTTTGAGCCTCGGGGTTAAAGTCCCTTTGAGAAAGTCTCGGGGGTTAAAGTCCCTTTGAGCCTCGGGGTTAAAGTCCCTTTGAGAAAGTCTCGGGGTTAAAGTCCCTTTGAGAAAAGCCTCGGGGTTAAAGTCCCTTTGAGAAGAAGCTTCAGGGTTAAAGTCCCTTTGAGAGAAACCATGGTGTAGAATTAAAAGTAATTATAAAAAGGGAAACGTTAAACACTAAAGAGTGCCTTTTGTTACTAGTGTGGAAAGTGATCACTTCTAGATTTGGATGACAAAAGTATAAAGAACAACATCAGTTATATTCGCTTAACAAAGTAATCTTGAAAGTTATTCTTCTGAATCTTTTTGCCTGTGTGTGTGCGTCGCTCTATCTGCTGCCGTTGTCAGGGAAACGGCCCCCTCCTTCGCTGCTCTGGCTGTGAATCTGAAGCAAAGCTACTGCTTTAGGAATTTGGCTTTTCATAGTAGTTATTCCGTTAAATTTGCTAAATTTGCCATTTGAACATTGTGTTAGACACAGTTAAACGTTTTTAAACACCATTAGGGAATAGAAGTTTTGAATTAGTATGTTTTTGAAACCCAAATATTAGTGCTAAAGCTTTGCTTTTCTTTTTAAATCTGCTGCTTATTTGTGAGTCCATTATTGTATCTCTGATATATTTCATAGCTGTTTGTGAGAATTTTTTCATGTATTTTTTATTTTAGTTACAAAAGCCGTTTTTCAAACATTTAAATTAGAATCTGTTAAAAGTGATTAATGATTGTAGACTTCGTCTAAAAAAGAAAGAGGGAATTAGGCTGTAAAAGTATTATATTATTAAGTTAAACTACCCAATTCACCCAATTCACATTCAAGCGGTGACTTTTGTTTTTGTTTTGACTACACGCGTGACCTTGCTGCTGCTCAGAGACATGAGGAGGCAGCTCCGACGCACAATTGAGTTTTATTGAACCAAATCCAGTGTAGCTGGAGCTAAATCTTTTGTTTGATTTCAAGTTTTGTTTTAAATGTTTTTACAAATTAATGTTCATTTTTATAGAGATTTTTCATAATTTCATTTCATGGCGTCTTTCAAGAAACCCAAGGACGCATAGATAATTAATCACACAGTACAAAAGTATATAATACATGTTTTAAAGTTTAAAAGGTTGTTTGTTTTGAGTATAATTGTTGTTTTGATAACTTCTTTAGTTTCTGGTTTTAAAATGTCATCATTAGTAAGAGAATAAGTAATCTTTATTTACATAGCGCTTGGGAAAGCCAAGAGCGCTCAAATTGTTTTGACTTCAGAGAGAAAAACAATCTCATTCGCATACTGATATCTATTGTTTTTTTAAATTGGCTGTTTCAAGGATTGTTTTTCAGACTCTGGCACACTGTGGGAGAGGTCACTGCTGGACACTGGACAGCGCAAAGCCCACCCAGCCACAGGTCACAGATCAAAGAGCAAAGGGAAATGCCACCTCCTTGCCCCTCCCCACGCCACTGCAGAACT